TTAAAATGGACTACACTAGTGAAAAGGATTTGAGTCCCTCAGGGCATAAATAATATGTCCAGTTCATCATGCGCATTTAGAGTTACAAGTCTTCAACATGAGTTTAACTAATCATCTATCCTTCATATGTAGAATTAAAAGGAACTAAGAATGAGTGGGGACTGGAAGGAGACAGGTTTTTGGTTTCATACGCTTAAATTTTAATCTCCTCTGTCTTCAGAATGCTTTAAATTAATAGCCATACAGTTACACAAAAGTGAAGCTTAAAATGGACCACACTAGTGAAAAGTGGGGACTGGAAGGAGACAGGTTTTTGGTTTCATACGCTTAAATTTTAATCTCCTCTGTCTTCAGAATGCTTTAAATTAATAGCCATACATTTAAAATAATGTAATTCAAAATAAATAAAATTAAGTAAGTAAAAGATTAAAACATACCATATTCAAGATTTATTGTTAAAATATATTTACATAAGAAGTTCATAAATGCATGAAATACCTTGGACATCTGACAGCCGGAAAACAAATACTTATATTCCATTAAAAAAACAGGAAAACATGTGACAGGCCATGTCAGCTGAGACTTGGACTACAATTATATAAACCACACCTGATTTTATAGCAAAAAAAAAAAAAAGCCACACAAAAGAAGGAAAAAACATACTTTATGACCCTGTAAATATGTATGAAGGTGAGACTATAAAGAGAAAAAAACTATAGAGAACACTCATGTTAAAAATCACCACTTTGTAATCAATTTTTAGATATTCCTTTAAAAACACATATAATTCATAAGTGTCGTGTTTTGTAAAGCCTGCCAAAAAAGCTTTCAAACTGTAGCTAAACCATCCATCATCATGTAATGAAGAGACAGGACAACACAGTTTTTTAAAGACTGCAACACACTGAGGAAGGGGGAAAAAAAGAGAAAAAAGTGTAAAAAAAACCCCCAAACCCTTAGGGCAATTTAGAGCCCAAGGAACCATGGAACAGGCATCTGCATGCAACTCATCATCAAGGAGATATTGTATGAATGTAAAGTGCTACTGCACCAAAGAACAAAAAGAAGTGCACAGAAAATTATTGCAGAAAAAGGAATAACAGAAAATGGGGAATAAAAAGTACTGTTATCACAAATCAATCCGAAAAACAATGGTTTAGACAAATATCTTCAAGAAGACACAACCAGTCTAAAATACTCATCCAAAAATCAAGCTCTTTTCATTAAAGGAACTGTCCACTAAATATCATTTGACTAGAAAACATTTGCTTGATTTCCGTGTGCCATACTTCATAATTATGTGCTGGTTAACAGTTAAAAATAAATAAATACATTTAGTAAGCTACTGCACAGTTACCCAAAGATCACAAACTGCACACTAAAGAAATCAAGATGATTTAGTAGCTTGTGGCTCATGGATATTCTTTCTATTAGATTCCTCTTCCCCCCTTCCAGCAGTGTTCTAGTAGTTGGAGCATCTGGGAAGCTCTCCAATCCTGCAGCCACAATGGTTCCCAAGTGTTAAACCCTAAGGTGAGGGGGTTGCTTAATGGACTGCTGTGATCCCATCATACACCTTCCCTTTACTCCTGGGGCTGATACAGGACACCAAATCCACCACTGATAGTTGTATGTGGCTCTCAATGGTAAAAGCTTATCTATCCCTCTTTTGCCATATGAAATAATGAACCTTGTAATTATATCTGAAATATTTAAGCCAGTACTGTAATTTTCC